GATTGCAGAAGTATAATCTTAATCAGTGGGAATTTAATGAAAATTCGTCCGAAGGAAACTTTCCCATGGACGCTCTCTGGAATTCAATTGACTATTTAAAGTGACTGTTCTGGAAAACAATGAACGCCGTTTGAAATACAATGGTCTATCCCGAAAAGCAATTAAAGTTTTGTGAAATACAATGGACAAGAACAGTAATTTCTAAAAAAAATAATAATTTGACATTAATCACGATGAGAAAATGCACAAAAATGTTTCTAGAATATTTCATTCTTTCTAGATTTCCCAAGGAAAATCGACAGCGGTAATGACGTCACAAGTACTATAAAGCGCTGACGCTCTACTGCATGGTGGTCGAGAAGAATTTATAATTCACTATTCAGTTAATTCACGCATCTGTTTTCTTGTCTTTTGGAAAAGGTGTGAAACCACAGCCAAGTAAGTCATGAGCTGTGTCGAGAGAGTGAGGGCTAATATTTTCAGTCTCACCAATTGGCGCTACAAAAACTTGAGGTCAATGTCAAAGTCAAATATCCCAAAATTTTGACGGATATCCCTAAAGACAGTGGCCTGTTTTATCGACTGTATGACACATAAAAAATATGTTTGTCATCATTTTTGTTAACATATTTGTCATCAAATTTAACAGGTGCCATACAGCCTAAATACTCAAAAATTAAGATATAAGCTTATATATAATGAGTACAGAATTTCAGCAGGCATACTGCAACAAAAATATTCTAAACGAAAAAATACACTAGTATGGGCGTTATTATATCTACTTGAAATACAATGAAGATGGATAAATGAAATATATAGATTCCGTATATGATGGTCAATTGCATAGTCATCATTTTGACGATTAACGTGAAAAATTTATAAAATATTTTTTTCCAGAGATGAAAAATTACCCTTATTCAGCATTAGTTCCGAGGCCAATGACTTTTGAATGAGTATAATTGAATTTTGTTCGTCAAAATGGGATTGTTCAGTCACTCTATGATGGTTCCTTATTGTAAACAAGTTTCAGACAGAAATAATATTCAATTTCATCTCCATATTTATAGTGACTATAATTAGGCGTAACTTGAACGTGAGGTCAATGTCAAAGTAAAAAATCCAAGAAATTTGCCGAATAGCACGCCTGAAGGTTGTGGCCTGTTTTATCGAAAATATTCGGAGAAAATGATGTAGAATATTTGAACAAATAGAAAACCTCAAGTTATGGAACGTGGACTCACGTTTCTTCACTCTCTTCTTTTTTCTCTCTTGGAGCGGACGAAAGGAAATTCCTATAATTTTCGTGGAACATCGCGCATACCTAGGGAGGATAGAGAGGAGGTAGGTGTAGGATTCTTTTAAAACTATTGAAGGTCACAATTTCTTGGGAATACTTCCATTGGCAAAGCTTCGCCGTTCTATAGACGAACGAGTTTTGGTAGAGTGTTGTTCGACCAATTATTATATTGACGAAGAAGAAGATATCGTAGGAAGATGCCAAATGACAAGAAGAGAAGAAGTATATTTATCAGTTCTACCAACTGTGACCCCAAGTTTTGTGGCAGACAATAAATGATGTTAGCCCTCATTTGTAACGTTGCATTGCAAAACTTTATAAAAAATATATATAGAAATACTTTATGTAACCACTAAAAACTAATACAACTCTGTAATATGTTCTCTAAATGGCTACATGAATAGCTATTCTCAAGAGTTTCAAGAGATACTCAGACTATTATCTTTGACGATATACAGAGTGAGTATATATAAGATCGACAAACTTCGATTTCAGATTCCTCACTTTATTTTGAACCAATAAGTTAGTACCAACGAATGTTCAATTATTCTACAACAAGTATTCCAAAGGTTTTTTCCGGAAACTTACTCTGGGTTGTTAACTCGATCCAAAGAGGTCACGTGACAAAAAAACTCGGATCACCTACTCGTGTTCAACGTTAACGAAAGTGTCAGGTTAGGAACACAGAATTTTCTTTTTTCTGCGGTTTCGTGAATTTGATAGCCAAAAATGTTCACATTTCATTCAAGTACTCATTCGATATGGTAACAAATATTTATATTAACCTGGTGATTGGTGAACTTGTTTCATATGTTGTCGCACATAAAACCACAAACTTCATACCTACCTAAATTCTCTACTCTATGCATCACTTAATCAAATTATTGGAGATAGAAATAGTATATTACACACCGAGGTGGGAAGTGATTCATTCCTGGCGTGAGATTAGTTAGTTAACCGAGACGCAAAGCGTCGAGGTTAGCTATAATCTCGAGACAGGAATGAAACTTCCTACCTAGGTTATAATACTATTTTATTTACAACCATATATGTAATGTTGTCATTACTAACGTCATTGAAGGTTGGGAAGTGTCACATTACACACCTCTACTTCCCGCCCCTCACTACTTCCCGCCCTCACCGTTACCACCGATACAACAAGGCCTGCATGCTCCGTGGGTGACGTCACTTAGTGAGGCCTAACCAGCGGCTCGAAACGACAAGCGCTTATAGCGCTATAAGGCGACCGCGTATTTCGATTTTAGTTTTATATCATCATTGAGCCGATTTTGCTGTTTTTTGAAGGGCTTCCGGTTGAAAAAGGATGCCAGTCGACAACTGATCCTTCTTCGCACCCCATTCGATTTTATTATGGAAAAACGAAGTTTTTAAGCAAAAACCAGGATAAAACACAAATATCCACCTACAGCAACCCATTCGAATTAAATATATTGGCAAAAATTGTGGTGAAGGTAAACTTCACACCTACTTATACAGGGCCCGCAGATCATAAACTTATCGTGAGATTGATCGAAAGAAAATTGTGGAAAATGTATTTTATTTTGATTGACATGCCGTTTGTTACAATTACCTATATTTATCTTGGAGAATTCCTATTACCTGAAAAAATAACCAGTGAATGTTCAATTTTCTGTTGTTGGATTTTTCACCCAAGTGGATCGTTACACTTGAAACCGTAATTTTTAAGGGTAAAACTGCATTTATCATGCGATGTTTTTTTTTTTCAAAATTTCTTTCGGCACTCACGTATTTTTGTCTGATAAACCGAATTTTATAATGAAAATGTGGACAAACCACTATTTATTGAGATATTTCAAGACCAAGTTCGAAATTTCGCCTTCTTTCTCCCCTTGTGTTGGGGGCATTTGAAGCTACTTGCTCTTATTTTGTCATTGGACACTTTATATACTCATGATGTACTTCGATGGCACATTTTTATATAGAAAATTCAACAGGAAATATGATTTTCATGGCGAGTTTTTCATATTTAGTGAACAAGCATTCCAGATGACGACCAGTTAATCCATATGCAATCCAAATACGAGATGTCAAATGTCAATAGATTGCTTTCGAATGACATTACACACGCCATTATTTCGAATGATGTTCTTCCTTCTCTTCACTAAATATGGATTAATCGCAAGAAAATCATATTTATAGTTGAATTATATATAAATTGTCCAATATGATGAAAAAAGAAGGGAAATTTGTTCTAAATGCCATCCAGAAGACAGGTGAAAAAGAAGGTGAAATTTGGAACTTTTTAGTCAAATATCTTCATGATAAATATCATGATAAATGCAGTTTTACCTTTTTAATTAGAGTGTTTGTAGTTCATGTTAATATGATAGTTGCAATTTGATCATTGGAATGAATTCTGCATTCATTGCCACGAGGCAAATGACCTTTTTCAGAAAGAAATTTGAGAATGAGAATTAAAAATGCCCGTTTATTATGAACATTCAAGAAAATTTCCTGGAATTCAGAGATGATTTTGTTGACTATAATATACGAATACAAAACTAACTGCACAATCAAAGCTTTTCTATTTTTCCTCTACTTATACTTTTTATGAGAGAGTAATTGTCTTCTATTATTAATTCATCATTATAAATCAAGCTCTGTTTACTACTGAACTTAGATGGAGTGAAATCCTCGCGGTGAATTGCATATACCCACATTTTCGATAGCCCCTCGTCCAACGGGAAACTAAAAGCATGAACTTTTGAACCACCCACATAATTACCCCGACAAAAGGGAACACAACACTTGAAAGGCATTGTTATTTCGCCGATCACAACACAAAATATTTCACAAAACAGTAATTTTTTCGCCAATTATTTTGATGAATAAACAACAAAAGAATTCGGGACCGTTTCAAAAACATACGTGAATCACCGATGAATTAACACGAACTGACGCGTTAGTCGACAAGCGATAAAATAAAACACTGGCCTCTCTTGGCGACGTCACGAGCTGTTTACGTCAGAGTCTGCTGGCCTTGTTGTATCGGTGGTAACGCCCTCACTCATGTAATAATTCAGGTATTTTCAGAACGATACATAGATTTATTAATTTTGATCGAAATATGATGGTTGTGAATAAAACAGTATACAAACCTCGGTAGGAAGTTTCATTCCTGTCTCGAAATTATAGCTAACCTCGACGTTTTGCGTCTCGGTTAACTAACTAATCTCACGACAGGAATGAATCACTTTCCACCTCGGTGTGTAATATACTATTATTTACAACCATCATATTTCGATCAAAATTAATAAATCTCTGTTTCGTTCTAAACATATCTGAAATATTACATAATTGAGGGCGGGAAGTAGAGGTGTGTAATATGACACTTCCCAACCTTCAACGACGTTAGTAATGATAACATTACATATATGGTTGTAAATAAAAAAAAGATGTCACCGAACGGAATTATTTCCAACATGCAAACTACGGAGTGGTAAACTCCCGCGTTTTTCGATTGACATAAATTTTGTATAAATTGCGCATGTTGTGTCACGAAAACTCTACCCGAGTCAGTGATCGAGTTAACAAAACTCAAGTTTCCGAACAAAGGTAGGTGACTCTGTTTAGGTAACCGAACGTTGAGGTTAGAGATCCGTTATAGTCGAGTAAGTTTTCAAAAACGCCTTAATAGTCGACGAGCGAAAAGTGTGTTAGACTCATTTGATCTCTTCAGTAGTGGAAAATGGCTGGTTCAAGTTCAGATTTCCAAGTGATATGGAGAAACCTGCTCACAGTGCACTATTATCTTTGTTTATCTATATTTTTATTCCGTTAGTGGTATATCGAAGACTGGAACCTTTGGCACGATAATACACTACACTGTTTTACCACTAACCAAACCGATTTTTTAACGCCTCGACACGTGTTTCGCTAACTATGTTAGCATCTTCAGGAGAAGATTGAAACTGAAACTGTTTTTAATCTTCTCCTGAAGATGCTAACATAGTTAGCGAAACACGTGTCGAGGCGTTAAAAAATCGGTTCCGTTAGTGGTGTTGAAATGAACATTCCATCACCAGTTATGTAATATTTTACTTTACCCAACTGGTTACTTTAAGAGGTTTCAAAATTTCCATTAGTTTTGAAGTGAAGTGTCAAATTACATGTCAAAATTAGAAAAACGAAGTTTGTCGGTCTGACTCCCCCATACTTTTCATCAAACATAAACTAAATAATAAAATTAATAAACATAAAACAATAATTTCATTATTTGGAAACGTAGAAAATCCCAATATCACATTAATTTTTTCCCCGTATGTTTTTTAAACATGATTTGTGAGTCATCGAAGTCGATGGCATTTTTGGCATTATTATTCCTCCAAGAAACGTAGCGCCATTTTGGCAGCGGCTCTCTTGGCCATAACCTTGTTACTACCGAAGCCGTGTACAATTTTTCTTGCACCTTTGAGCGAAAACTGCAGCGGCACCATCACCTTCTGGCTAGTAACAGATTTACTTTCACTGAAAAAAAAGAAACCGATTCATTTACTGAGTCAAATTGTTATGAGTCACAAAATGTGGCCCATTCAAGTCCGGAGAATTCAAATTTTACGATTGATTTTAATTTTTTTCCAACAAATAGCATTTTAAGCAACGATTATGTAATGAGAGCTATATACTCGCGCACCAGGTAATCGTGTGCCAGTGTAATAATAGCCATTACAAGATCGTTACATACGATATTTTCCTCCATCTAATAACTTCATTTCACAAAAAACTACCACATAATACATAATCTATGCACCAACGCGACGACGCATATAAACGACGATCTTTACATTCGTAACCTTAAGACACATAACCACAGTTTGAACATCTATAAAAACTAGTTATGTCTTTCTACTAAAATTTTGTGACCATATCAAATCGACTCGTAGCGTCTCGATTTTGGATGCGCAGAAGACTAAAACGTCAATGTCATTCGTCAAGTCACTAAATAGCAATAAATCTGAAGGGTATCTCCCACCTGATGTTAAGTTGAATATTTGTTATTTTTATTTCACCCATCTAAATAATCCGACACTTACGTTGATAATTAATGTACAAGGTAACGACTTATAGAATTTCATATTACAAAAGAAAAACAACGAAAATCTCAGAGTCGGTCGACCACACTTTATAAAAAAATATTAAAAATTACATGTAACCGGTTTCGGCGCAACGGCCATCATCAGACAAAAATAACTATTTGTTTATTTCCTGGTGTTACTTACCACTGTTCTATTGTGTCATTTTGGTTCTGTCAGCCAGTTTTTTCTGTCTCTTTACCAAATTTAAAAGAACCACATGTGCCTGACTCTGATATCCCGTTGACGACTTGAGTTGCCCTCATGTTTGATTCTCCATAATGCTACTTGATAGCTTCATGCTTTGGTATGTTTTGAAAATGTTTGTCAGTTTCCTCTATTTGTATCGTCATATTTCATCTTTTTACAGGTACTTTTTTGTCTGATGATGGCCGTTGCGCCGAAACCGGTTACATGTAATTTTTAATATTTGTTTCTGAAGTGTGGTCGACCGACTTTGAGATTTTCGTTGTTCTTCTTTTGAAATTGCTTTGGACCACTTTGAGATATGGATGATTTATATTATTTAATTTCATATTAGATTGATATTTTGTGTCCAAATATTGGCCTGGTGCGCGTGGCTTGTTGCGCATTAAACAAAATGGGTTAACGAACATCAAAGATGCCGACAGTGAGAGAGACTACTGCATCTTCTCAGCTATCTACTGTGACATGACGTAATTCTACTATTTCTCTCCTAATCACAGAACACTTGACAGAACATCAACTACGTCATGTCAACTGTCTATTACAATCTAACCAAACATAATTGACAATCATTCATATAACACAAAACTGCATATATCCAAAACAGTGTTGCCAACTCAACTAATTTTTACTACAGTTGCCACTTTTGACTCCAGGCTAGATTCAAAGTGCACTGACAACTAGACCAAATCAATCAACTCACCCGAATTTAGGTTCGGCTCCGACACATTCGAAGAGCCGCCTTATAATGTTCATGGGCACATCCTTGCTGAACAGGTCGATCTCCTTGTACATAAGCCTGTAAAAAACTTTCCACACGGTCTTCAGGTCCTTGTTGCTGTCCAAATAGACGGCGCCGGCTAGGGCTTCAAACATGTCGCCCAGAATCTGAAATGGAACACAACCGTACACGTAACATACAGCGCCATCCATAAAGTCCGCAACATATGGGGGCACATTTACTATTAGAGTACCTATCGAAACATTTTCCTGGGGGTCTATTATGCATGTCCGATAATCTAAAAATCGATTTTGACATATGTCACGTGATCACTGGTATGGCGGTAAATTGGAACAAATGACTATGAAGAGGTGTGAACTCTGTCCCCGCGTACAAATTGAGCTTATTGTTTTGAGCGCGCTAGTGTTAGATACTGCTTTGACGACTATTGATTTGGACCGAATTTCGAGCGCGCTTATGAAATCAGTTACATAACCTCACATGCAAATTCATTTCTTGACCAACAAAAATCATAGTCCATGCAAAAATGAAGAGTTTGGTGAATATTTCTCTCATTATTGACACAGTGATGACGATATCGTTATCGAAATGATATTTCTTCAAGTACTGATGATGAGGGGGCTGATGAAGCAGTTGTATAATACAGGGTGTTAACAAATAAGTGCCACAACGGAAAACTGTAGATTGCTCATGAAAAAAGAAACATTTTTTTCCCTTTCAAAATTTTTTTTCGGGCTTCCGTTATCAAGATACAGGGCGTCTACAAATACAAAAAAATCTGTTTTTGCTACTATCTCTTGAACGGTCTGAGCTACGGAGTTAAGTCTTCGTACACACTTCATCATCAATAATGACTACTTTTAGGGCTCTTGATCAATTTCCTTGGACATGTCAGTGGAGGAGAATTCAACGCCTCGTGAGGGTTTAACCCCTCAAACATTTATGCCACTGGAGAAATTGTAATTTTCAAAGTAGATTCTGAAGCGCCAATATCTTTCACACAAAAACGTCCTCCTGTCTCAATGCTCTGAAGTGAACAGTTTCCGAGAAAAATGGCTCTTTATGAATAAGAACATACAAAATCCTGATGGTATCTCTAAAAACCTTCTAAAAATCCACTGGAAATAAACACCTCAGAACAGAACACCTCTTATAATATGTTCATTCAAATGTCAGGTTCTTTAGTATGCTGGTCTCGATGCTGGTTTTCAAATTGTTAAAGTTATCAAGTGTTGTAAAATGTGTTTAATTAAACTGAACATTTTTGATATTTGACGCTCTGTATCTTGAAAACGGAAGTCCGGAGAAAAATTTTGGAGAGGAAGGAAATGTTTCTTTTATTATGAGGAATCTACAGTTTTGCGTTGTGACACTTATTTGTTAACACTCTGTATAACGGTCTCGATGCTGGTTTTCAAATTGTTAAAGTTATCAAGTGTTGTAAAATGTGTTTAATTAAACTGAACATTTTTGATATTTGACGCTCTGTATCTTGAAAACGGAAGTCCGGAGAAAAATTTTGGAGAGGAAAGAAATGTTTCTTTTATTATGGGGAAACTACAGTTTTCCGTTGTGACACTTATTTATTAACATCCTGTATAACGTCTTCGTTCAATTTTATACATATAGATTAATTGATTTCAAAACCACGTGTCGAAAATTATGTAGAGAGAGTTGTCAAACATCGTTTCTGTCAGGACTTTTTTCCCCATGTCTACTTCTTCAAGTTTCAAGTGACAGTAGTGACACTACACACCAGCGCTGAGGCCGCTCCACCTCTGAACTGTTAGCACGAGGAGTGACGTAATCTATGACGTCATACGGACGCACGGTAATTATTTAGAAGCGTTCTAAGCGTTAATCGGACCAATTGCGCTCAAAGCGATTAGAATGCGATTCGGACCGCGGTTTGTATGTGAATATAAAATTGAATTCTGAGCAATTTTTTCAAATAATTTTTTTCGATATCTTTTTTTTTTTTTAGTGATATTATTTATTTTTCCGTCGACCTCCTATTAACGAGTGAGTTCAATGTTTATGAAATCGTTCATAATGACCCCTATTAATGATGCAATTTGTTTATTAATGCACGATTGTTTCATAGGCAACCAAACATACACCGCGTGCATTCATTGTTTATGCTATAACTCACGGAATCTGCATTTAAATCGAAAATATGGATTTCATCGAAGATTTTCCGTTAACGGGTTCGCCTTTCCAAGTTTCTGAAACGATATAAATCCCTGTTTTCTAATACAAGGAATTTATATTCTATGTTGATCATCTCGACAAATGTCAAATGTCACTAATGTCAAGGCTACTGGGTGATTCATAGTAGTTTCCAGATGAATGATGAATTGGCGAACCAAGTTTTCTTCTTTGCAGGAGAAATGAGAAATGTAGTCGACGGAAAAATTGTTTAACCAACTAGTATATTAAGAGGCAATTAATGATCTCGATCTCGCTTCGCTTGCACGTTAAAATATCTCGATCATTAATCGCCCTCATTAATACACTAGTTGGTTAAATTACTATTATTTATTCATTGAATATAACTTCCAGACAGAATAGGCTCTGGTATAAGGAAGTACATAATTATATACCTATAGGTAAACATATCATCATACAAAATATATCAACAACTGTTAACTGACAAACAAAGAATAATATTTGTAAAAAAAATGGCATGATCAATTTTATCCAGTTCAGTCAGAAATAATCATTTTTTTCACTTCATTTTTTAATGTACCTATATTTCTGCTATTTTTTATTTTGTCAGGTAGTTTATTGAATTGGCTGAATGAGTGAATCTTTCTTGTCCGATTATGGAGCTAGCGGCGTCAAGATGAAACAAGTTATATTGTCTAGTTTCATTTTACCGCTGTACCAGTGGTCACGTGACATGTGTTAAAATCGATATTTAGGTTATCGGACATGCATAATGGATCCCCGAGTAAAAATTGTTCGATACTCTAATGATGAACTTTTTCCCCATATATGTTACAGACTTTATGGATAGGAAAAACATTGGAGCATTGTACAAAAATATTCGACAACCAAAGATGAAAATCGATTTTGACAGATGTCACTTGATCGCTGCAATGGCAGCAAATGTCATAGTTCAACAGCACTGACCTATGAACAACAAATGAAAACACAATTCGCGGTTTTCAAGGTCATCATATGATGCGATGACGTTAAAACTGGGGGAGAACATGTCTAACTTTCAATCTACGCCAGGAGTTAGCAGTTTTCCCCCAGTTTTAACGTCATCGCCACGTCAGATGACCTTGAAAACCGCGAATATACAATACTTGAGGATGCGTGGAGAACTTTTACGACCAACATACGGACATTAAAATTAATAATGATTATAATAATTCTAATCAAGTTATCAAAAAGATGTTATGATTCCGAATAAAACATAATAGGAGGAAGCCATGATATTATAGTTCATTTTTGACTTTTTCGAGCAACCAGCACCTCAAAACACTTATACTCCATAACAAAATATCATGTAAATGTTGGAGACTCGGCAACATGTGCTGAATGCTGATAACTGACAAGACAACGCCCCCAATAAGTGCGCCGTGTTGTCACGTTTACCGGTTCAATATAATTATTATTTTCACAAATGTATCATAAGTAATAAGCCATAACACATGAGGGAAAATGTTGAGACTATAGATTTTTTATTGCTAATTAGAAATATTACCAGTACATAATTGAGAAATTATGAATTATTGATTAACTAATATTTCTGAAGTTCCCAATCGTATTTCAACATAATGGCAACTGTAATTATGGTTAACCCTTACTTACGGAATCGTGACGTCAGTTTTTATTTGCGATAAATTTCTAGCCGTTTGAAAATTACCCTGGCATTATTTATGATTTTAGTACCTTGAAATCGACAAAAAAAATTGAATTGAAAGGTATCTGTGATGATTCTTCTTATGAGATTGAAAAAATTAGTCCACTTGCCCATTGGTTGACGCACCTGCACAGTTTAAGTATCTTCATCACATTTCAGCGATGATATATTATGGTGTTTCAAATCATCCAAGGCCGTCCCAGTACGACATATGCACTGTGCAATTTTAAAATCAATTTCCTATAATTAATTATACATATTCCTCTCATATAGTCGATACTCGTCAACCAATTTATTTTAGCGTAAAACTTATTTTGTTATTCGAAGGCCAGTGTCCAAGACCTAGAGAAGCAGTCGGACGAAATTCATTCATTGTCATTCCCACTACTCTGCAGAGTCGAAGGCATATTAGCAACAACATTGGAAGAGAAAGTGAATATTTTGCGAAAAATCGAACATCGAGTTACAACCGGTCACCTTGGGAACATCCACGGACTCCGCCATATTGTAGTCCTGCTCCTCCAACAAAATGAGCACCTGGTCGTCGATCTCGAACTGCTTCGTCTCCATTATGCCGACGAACTTGTCGATCATCCCTTGGAGCGTGGAATTAATCATCAGCAGGAACTTGTGCAGGCCGTTCCTGCGAACGAGAAGAAGAATCGATTTTGAATGAGGAAGTTTGTATCGAACGAATCATCATAGAATTATTATTCAACTACTTAGTATCAGGTTTATTTTCAACAGTGCTGGCATGAGGAAAATCATTGTACCTGTTGTTATTGAGGCTGTGAATATGATGGATATACAGGTCAGAATATTTAAATCAGCTGATGTATGCGACTTCTTCAGCAGCAATACATTGAATGTCTCACAGGTTAGGCACTGAAGTAAGAAAATTTGAACAAATTTTAAACAATGATTCAGAAATTGGTCTGATTCAACCAACTGGGCCATTACATTTTTCTCTGCCAAAGTGCCGTTTCTAGGATAATATTCCAATTTCAATATGTGAATAACCTTTCATTATGAATATAATCGGTCTTTGTCAGGTACCTACAATTGTGGGACTGAATTTGGTTTACATACATCCTCTATTTCCCTTAGAATATACATATATCTTCTTGACAGAGATGTTTACTGCAAATAGCATTTTCATCAAGAAGAGATCGAACAGTTGTGTCTTGTTATAGTCGATCCAAAATTTGATAAGCACTTTTCTATCATAAATTCAATAAGCATAAACCTAGATAGGTATCTTACGAAAAATAATGAACTCCAGCGCTCTTTCCCTTGTTCTTGAACCACAACACTAGAAAAGAACTCATTTTTATGATGATAAAGATTGTACAAAAATGATACATCTGCCAGCTGCGATCACGAGCACTTTCAAACTCATCAGCTTTCAAACACGCATATACGAAAACTAACAAGAATATTGCCTTCTGGAAAGATAATCACAAAAGAACATGTAGAAAATCTGACAATTTGTTATCGGAAAAGTATTGTGAAAACTCAAAATTAAACCCGTCTCTGCAAAACGCGAATGTCTATTAAGATTGTCAGTTGGCACCATGAATAATTGTCAAGGTTGCCGATAGTAATCAATTAACTTTTTTATCGGGTTCAAATTGTGAACAGTCCGGATTCAAAATAGTGGCACAGTATTCATGTACGTTCACAGTTCTGTACCAAACATGTGAAATATCTAGTCTAATCTCTTCTAAAATGGTTTTAGCAATAACTCGTTTGAGAATCTGGCAACTTGATGGGAATAAGCATTCTAGTGTCAGTATATACGAGGTGTTTTTGAAGTCATATAATCAACATCGATATGATACAGTCTAACGAATATTCCCATGATATCAGATTTTTTATAATTCTAATTAACGAGAAATTTCATCCCGAAACAATTTGAATGATTGAACTCCGCGTGAATGTGCCTTCCGCACGAAAATTTCAACAGAGGTGACGTCACAATTGCTACAGTGTAAAACTTTGGGTGGGAAAAGGGGTCTAACCCCAAGTTTTACTTTGATCCCTATATTTTTTTTATTGGTGCCATTCGATAGTATACGTCAAGATTTCCTAGGGTTTGAAATATTTGCACCTATTTCAAAGCAAACCTGTATAATATGACCTCTATGGTAGTATGTCATGAATTGTAGAGAAGCCGACACTATATCTTCATGATGTTTTTCTGAAATCAAAGATCGCACGAAAAAAATACTGTTCAATGAATTCTCATGGGTGCCCGTTTTTCGAGCTCCACCATGGGGATCTCAGTTATTATAAGAGATACGAGGTCGGTTGAATTGAGGCAAAGTTGCGCATTTTTATGCTGAACATTTATCTGCAAGAAAATTTGATGTGTCATTTTCAGTTTTTGAATTATTTGAAGAAAACGAAAATTTGTAATTTTCGTTATTTTTTTAAGCGAAAACCAAAAGACCTAGACGTTTCTGACTAGGACATTCTCAAGGCACTTTTTCACAAGAAATCTGAATCTGTCATCGTATTTTCCATGACGTTCTTGATGCCAAAATTACAACACTCAACTTTCTTTTTTACCATAATCGTCATATTGGATTTTTGCATTTTTGAAAAGATTTTTTTCTGATTACAATTGTATTACACGATATGATGGAATCTTTCCTGTTGATCAAAATTGGAAAAAAACATGTTTTCTGCAACCGACACAAAAGTCGTCCATTTTGATACTGAAATTAGCTCTTAAATTGACGTTTCTATTACTGACACAAAAATAGGTATGTTGCTAGGCAACATATTTAGTTCCTAGGAGCTAAAATTGAACTTTAGCTCCTAGGAACTAAAAAAGATGTACTGGGCGTCATCAAGAATAAACAACATTGGGACGGTTGGTTATTTGGGTTGAGACGCATACCTGATTTGTTTCCGATTTCAGCAGATTTGGCTTTTCATATACCCATGCTGGAGATATAAATACACCTTATTATAGTTTAGTATTGGAATTATAAACATCTCAGTTAAGCATTTTTGTTTTAATCAGGGAAGCCTTCGAGATTCAAATACTTGTGTACTGTATTTCATTCGTTATTCTCGGGATGGAAAACTTGTTTTTGAATAATCACGGCAAGCAATCGTTTTTTTGTCTCAAACAACGATATTGTTTAGCTTCATTTGATTATCAAGTCAAACACAGTGTAGGATGGAGAGGAATGAATAATCACTATTATCATTGGTGATATGCTCATTAACCTAACATTTTCCACGTCTTGTTCCTACAGCTGGCACTGGCGCGGTATTTGCCATTAGAGCACCTAGTCCATACACAAATATGTCACTGTGGTTGTATTTATAATGAAACAACAATTCGAACATCCTTGAACACCTAACCTGCTGTTAATGCAGGTAGAATATTCTCACCACACGGATTATTTGTCAATATTTGTTGCATTGCATACATATGGCACGGCATTGGTGGTTACTTCACATGTTTATTTGAGTTAATTGTTTCGGTTGCAGAAAAAATAGCATGTTTCATTCGGATCAAAAGTGACTTTGTTCGACTCGCAAATTTTGCTTTCGCTCGGCTTCGCTAAACGCTCCGCCTCGCAAATGCAAAATTCGCTTGTCAAACAAAGTGTCACTTTTGATCCTAATAAAACAATCTACTATTTGCGAGGTGCTTCGGAAGGAACGCCAACAGTTTTATTTAACAAACTGAATTATGCCAATTCAATTGATGCGAACAGAACTGTTGAATTCTTGAGCTTATTCACATAACACAAGAAGGATTGTCGAGTGTCTGTCAAATATGCTCCTTGACGAAGTAATTTCCAACAACGGAGACATACGTTGGCCAGCGCGGTCACCTGATCACTCTCCACTGGATTATTATTTATTGGGAACTATGGAAGATTTGATTGATGAGCTGAGTAGAACCATGATCACCACTTTCACGACGAAGAAGACGGGATATCTCGCGAGCAATTCAGAATCTGAGGAAACGCGTAGAATTGTGTTTAGAAGTGGAAGTTGGAGTATTCGGGCATCTTTTATAACTTTCTTCTGTTTTGTTTTGCGAAGAATAAACTTCTAGCTCATTACGTCGTTCCTAATTCGAAACCATAGTGTTTAAGTAGATGAGCTGGACGTAAATGTGAACATTCCAGATACAAATTCGAATAAACTGTCGAAATTCAGCTTTTTAAACAAAACTGTTGGCTTTCTTTCCAAAGCACTTTTTGCAAAAATGGATTTTTCCCAATTTTGATCAACAGGAAAGATTCCATTCATATCGTCTGATATATCATTGTTATCAGAAAAAAAAAAACTTTTCAAAAATGCAAAAATCCAATATGGCGCTCATAAAATTATGGTTCGATGAGATGTCTCTCACTATAAACTTTGAGAAATCACGGTACATCCCATTCAGCTGCAACAAAACCAAGATTCCCCAATACAAAAAACTTACCTTAAATTTAAATCCACCCATTGATATCGAAGAGTCAGAACATATTATAAAGTATCTGGGGGTGGAAATTGACAGAAATTTGAAATGGGATGTTCACGTGAAATATTTGGTCAAAAAACTGAGATGCATTCTCTTCAAATTTAGACAGTTGAAAAAGATCTTGAAGTACTCACAGCTGAAACAAATATACTTCTCATTGGTAGAATCGCACATTCAATACGGAATCATAGGTTGGGGGCTACGTATAAAAATCATCTAAAAAATCTCGAGATTATCCAGAAATATTATATAAAAATCATGCTGGGGAAAAAAGATCGTATAGGAGTGATCTCGTATATGAATCCAGTGAACTATTTGATGTAAGACAAATCTATGTTTACAAAATCATGAACTTACAGTATAAAAAAAACTGGAACTAGTTGGAATAAATCATGAATACAAAACCAGTCACAAAAAAATATGAGAACAACAACTTTCAAGTTCCAAAAAGGTTTGAGTTAAAGATCGTATGGATTTTTGGCTCCACATATTTATCGCAAGATTCCCAATATAATTAAAGTAAACGCAAGCAAAACCCAGCTCGAGAAATATTTGAGATCATGGCTCTATACTATTCCTCGAAGGATCGATCTAATAATCTTATTGAAAAAAAGTCATTGATTCTGTACTGACGCATTGTTACATTGAGAAATTTTTTGGATTCTTATCAGGTATAGCAAAATTCATATGAGTACTTCAAAATGTCCCCCCCTGTAAAAAATCAACTGTGCGATCGAATGACTTGAAATTTGGTCACCCATTATATTTGATGATGCTCACTCGAAATATGCTATTGAATAAATCGTAGGTATACAGGGTCACACCGAAGTGCACCTCAACTTTCTTATTTGAATAGGGACACCCAGTATATTATTCCATATTCTAGTAGAGTTCATTATTACAAATTCAACAATGCCGGGTTTGATGGGATTTTTTCAAATGACTACGAAGATATGGCAAAAAATAAAACGATTCAATAAAAAATTTATTTGACTAGATATTATCAATATAACACGATTGAAATCGAATGAACAGAAAATAATTAAAATCTAATAACCACCAATTGTCTCGATGGTGATAGCAACTGGCCAGCTCGGTCGCCAGACCTCACCCCGCTTGATTTTTATTCGTGGGGCTACTTGAAA